ATGAAAAAAGAAAGCTGTATACGTCGCGATTCACCCCAATGTTTAAGTGCTAACAAAATTATTGTATTTAGCACACTCTGTGTTGCAAGAAAAAGTTAAAAAGATAACCTGTGCATTCGCTCGTTTGAATCTTATGACGATGAGAAAAAAGTAGAAAACGTGCCCATTTGGATTGACTAACTCCGTGTTTTTGATAAGAGGCCATGCATAATGAAATTCAAAACAAGATCTCAAAGATCTAGAAAAATTGATGATTTAATAGGTCGAGTTCTTCACAAGCAAATTAGTAAATGGACAAATAATCAGAAATGGGTGGCAATCACCCGCCAACTTTCCTTGCTTTAATGGTTTTATAGTTATTTTGTTCCTTACAGCTTCCTCTGAAAATAGATGCTACGGAAACGTGTGTTTCGCCATTTACTCTCCGGTTTTTTCTGAGTTAACAGAGCACGATGATTAACCGGTTCGTTTATTCAACATTTTTCTAAATAAATGCCACATTCCTCTCCAAAGTTAACGAAAAAATAAAAAACGCCACAAGTTTTGAACAACAACAACAACAACAACAAAAAGATGAAACCGTGCATAACTGATCAGGAGAATCGTTAAGGGTTGATAAGTGCAAACAGATTTTTTAATTTTTATTATTATTAAGTCTAGTAAGTATTGGAGGTAGTGGTGAAAAGTCGTGCAGCTCGCTGGCTTAGTAGAACCGAGAGCCATTTTTCTTTCTCTCTTTTTGTTTGTATCCTCGACGGTCTCAGTTTTACAGCTTCTACTTCATTTATTTCTTCATCTCAACTAACTAGTAACATAACGAGCAAGCCGAAGCTACAGGGCAGAACATGGGAGCTTAAACAAAGAAAGGGCAACTTATTGTCGGCGGAGCCGGGTAATGTTTTGGTTTTATATTATTGAAAATAAGTCGGAAAACCAATGAAACGCTTAAAACGTTGGTTAACAACGGCCCAAACAGGCACTTGAAAGGGACTAACAACCCAAGGTCACCTTAATCGCTCTCAGGCACAACCCACTGTATAGATGACACATCTGACAAGGGCGAGATGAGTTCATTCAAAAATAAGAAAAGAAAAATTCGCCAGCCAAGCGCAAACTCAAGAGCGACTAGAATCAAAACATCAAAACAGGAAAACACCTAATGTGGGCGAAACCACTCCAGACTAACTTTCACACACCCAACGAAAAAAATACTCTATTAAAGTGACACCCATGTAGCACCTAAAGTAGTAATTGATGACACTGTTTGTGAAGGCGGGGAAGCCATTATTCGCGGTCATTCTAGCCCTTGCAAAGCAAAGACATTACCAGTTCTTTTTCCGCAGTTATTTTACGACCGTGAGTGTTGGTCCGCCACCGAAGACCTGTTTCCTTGCAAATAATTAATCAATTATAATTTGTCTCAAGTTTTAGCACGATTGCGTGGCCGACCACTCCTTGGTAGATGAGTTTACTTAGTTCTATGGATTACGTTGTTTCGCTCTTTAGTGAATAAATGTTATAGTTGTTGTTGATAAGTATTTATGACCTGAGAATTATACCAAAATTCTAACGAATAAAGTTACTCTTTTCTGGTGAAATCTGTGAAGAAAAAAAGAACCGCTCAGCCCACTTAGGATATATGCTGTGAATAAGAATAAATCATGATAAAAGTCATGGCATACTGGAAAGTCCAGATTTAAATCCTTCTATCTATTACTTACCGCTTGGGAAAGAAGCTAATTGAAAAATAGAAAGAAAAATTAAAATCCGCATCGTGAGTATGTCTTGAGCGAAGGTGCAACAACAGATAAATGGCGCTGAAGACAAAGAACTGGCGTTGATATAAACATAACAATATCATGATATTTTGAATTGTATCTCCTAACGCTCGATCCTGAAAATAATCCCAGGGGCGGATCTTTGGAAAGAGGCCCAGGGGTTACTCTCTAATATAAGCCATTTAGGCATGTGTCGCCCCAAAGGGTATGGTTTTTGCGCCGTTTCGGTCTGAAAACGGTATAGAATTTCCCCATTTTGGTCTGGAATCGGGTATGATTTTCGAGGGACCTACGGGAGTGTATGAACGTAATTGTTATTTCAATTCCAAATGAATGAGAAAGAAAAGGTAATATGCGAATTCGAGATGAATTTTAAGAAATCTTTTTGTTTGCGCTCTTTTCTAAATGAAGATGATAAAATTTCTTCTGAAATAAGGTCAGGATTTAGAGAACTGGAGCGGCACCCTCCCGCCCACCAAGAATTTCCAGGAGTACCCCCTGGGAAAGAGTGGGCCTAGAGAATTTAGGCTCACTTCTGCAGAATTTCGTTGTTTTCCTTATACAATACAAAATTTGTGGAGAAGGTATCACGTTATACGGCTAACGTAAGGAAAAGATTAAAAAAAAAATTTAAAAAAGCACCTGATATCTATCTTTCCAATACGTTTCCAAGCTTTGCTGTCAGTTTTCGACACCAAGTTGGCTGTTTCACTTTCTTTGAATAATCAAACGTGTCATATGTGTAGCTTTGAACACGCAAACCTCAATCGAAAAGGCTAATAATGCAAAAGGACCATCTGAACGTCTTCACCGAAAAATGAAGGATGACATTTTTACCCGTAAACACCTCTTTATATACGGCTATGATAATGTAGTCGAAGGCATATAAAGGTAATACTCAAAAGGTTGTCTGTTAATTAACTTAACTTGGTCAAGAAAAAAAGAAGAAAGCTGAATAAACACTGGCCGGCCATGAGCCTTTTCACTTAGTTAAAAGCGGACATTCAACAACTCAGTGTTAGCTTATCCAAAGCTTTTTTTTTTGTTTTTGTTATTTTTGTAAAACCTGAACAACGGCCATAAGTAGGCAAATATAAATAAATTATATGTTACGTTGAATCTTTATTTAGAAACCGAGGCCGCGAGGACGAGTAATCGTTGAACCTCATCACAATCAGTTTCATTTCCATAGAACAATTTAAAACCTGTCATAAATGTAAATTAAGTCTTTCGTACGTAATAGGCCCTTCGAGGGAACTTCAGGAGTGTATGAACGCAATTATCATTTCAATTCCAAATGAACAACAAAGAAAAGGTATTATGCGACTTCGAGATGTATTTTAAGAAATCTTTTTGTTGGCGCTTAGCCCGCGAAAACATTCGTTTCTCCTCGCTCTTCGCCGCTGGGGACGTTTCGCACGGAGGAACGTCCAAACCGGCGAAGAGCGACGAGAAACGGATGTTTTCGCAGGCTAGTTTGCGCTCTAATCTAAATGAAGATGACAAAATTTCTTCTACACCAGCTCTGAAATTGCAGGGTATGGATTTAGTAGGCCGCAACTGAAAACGGGTGTAAAAAATTAAATATTTTGGTCCGAAATAGGGTCAAAATTTAGAAAATCGGAGCGGCACACTCCCGCCCACCAAGAATTTCCGGGAGTCCCCCCCCCCCCTCCTCCGGGGAAGAGGGGGCCCGGGGAATTTAGGCTCACTTCTGCAGAATTTCGTGTTTCTCCTTATAAAAGACAAAATTTTGGGAGAGGGTTTCCCGTTTTCCGGCTAACGTAAGAAAAGGTTTCAAAAAAAAGTTTTACGAAGTTGATTTTTCGCATTTCGGCCAGAAAAATAGTGAGCAGTAAGATTCAAGCCAAGAAGCGTAGCGTTTTACCGAAGAAAAAAAAAAATTTAATTTTTACTGCGAAATATACAAAGCATAAGTCAACAAGTTTGCGAAGAGGAAGCTGATTGCAAACAGCTCAGAGCTGTCTTTGAAAAAAGAAATTGTCAGGGAAAAGCATTTAGGCAGAGGAACACCATATCATGACCTGTAGACCCGGTCGTTCCTATATCATGATAGTCCTTTTTCGTGCTATATGAATGATTATTTTAAAATGTAACACGATCGACAAAGTTCTGTATTACGTTTCAATTAACACACCCGCTGCATGGTCGTTCAACAATAATGCTCTAACAGTTTGAGCTTGTACTATAAGGGTTTTTTTAAAACTTCCCGGAGAGGAGTAAGAATTTTTACTCATACTATTTATTTCTCCTCAGCAAAATGTGGAGGCCTGTCCATGTGTGACTGGCTACGTGTGCAACATAGAAACAAACATCTGCTGGGGTCAATGTGAGGCCGTCGATGGCGGATCGGGGTCTGGATCCGGATTGGAGGACTTCTAAATGACATCATTACTATCAAAACTTTTACTTGGATCACGAGACGTTTTGTTGGGAAGAAACATCCAATAAAGTTTCGAAATTCTGCTAGACCGTGTTTATTTTAATCGACATTGAAGTTTAAATGTCCCTGATTATTTCAAATGCGCTGCCTGAAACTTAAAACTTACTCGACAATCATGACAAGTAGCTATCATATTAAACTTACCATAACTTCTTACAGGACTACTGGCAAAGCATAAATATACAACTTAGCCAAAAAGAAATTAGTATTGTAAAAATGGGAAAAAGTTCTGAAATACAAATTTATAAAAAATGAGACAATAAAAAAAGACTATGAAAAATGTTAAGAGGAAATTGCAATTGACCTAAAATGCAAGTTTAAAGTCTATTTTCACTAGTAGTTTTGTCGGATTCACCAGTTTCGAAAACTAATTTGATTTTTTTTGTGGGCGGGGAATACGCTGAAGTAGTTATTAATGGAAGAAAGATATCATTGGAATTTTTTGTTGCTTTATCCCTCATCTTTCCCGGAACTTAAATCAAATTTGCTCTGCCATTAGCATTAACATAGAGCTCTTGTGTCCCTTCGTATTTTCTCATTTTTCACTATTAACCGCTATTTCAGCGAACTAGGATTCTTGGTCAGTTTGAGGGCACGGTTTACCAAAACTTAGAACTGGCTACTGGCTTAGGCATTTTGAAAATGAAATAGTCTAGGTCGAGAGTCTAGTTTTCGCCGCGAAAAAAACCATCACTGCTGTCAAAACTATTTATAGACTGATCTGACTGGGCTGTCTTGATTAACAGAGGAAACAGTTC